AAATAAATAAATAAAATCTTTAAAGAAAAAAAAAGATTTGTTTTTTAAAAAAAATTTTTTTAATTTTAAAACTGATATTTGATTCAATTATTGGAGAACTTCAAATATGTTTGGGAAATTTGGGTATATGAGCCTACCTTTACACTGTCTATTTTATAATTCAAATCTAAATATAGATCAAGTATTTCTCATGATAATGTTATCATCTAAATCACCATTAGGACACTAGTACTGGCTATCTCCAAAAGGTGCAAATACTAGGAGCCATCCTTGAGAGTTGGAAATGTATTTTAAGTACAAAATGTTAGATTTTAAAGACTTAGTATGAAAGAGAATGTAAAATATTTCAATTTTTATTATGTGTTAATGATAATATTTTAGATGTACTGGATTAAATACTAAAATTAATTTTACCTTTTTAATGTGGCTATTTATTTATTTTAAGATTTTATTTATTTATTTGACGGAGAGAAAGAGAGAGAGCACAAGCAGGGGGAGCGGCAGGCAGAGGCAGAGGGAGAAGCAGGCTTCCTGCTGAACAGGAAACCCGATGTGGGGCTCAATCCCAGGACGCTGGGATCACGACCTGAGTGGAAGGCAGATGTTTAACCGACTGAGCCATGCAGGTGCCCTGCTACTAGAGTATTTAAACCACACATTTCTCATTATATTGGACAGCACTGTTCTAGATAATTCTTTTTCTTGTTGGTGGTATTCTAGAGAATTCTTTAAAGAAACTTAAAATTATACTGTCATGTTATTTTTGCTTCCAAAATGCTAATTCTAATGCATGGCCTTCATAATTTAGATTATAAGAAGACCAGTCTAGCTCCTTATATAAAAGTTTTTGAACAGTTTCTTGAAAACCTGGATAAATCCCGAAAAGGAGAACTTCTCAAGAAGAGTGGTAAGACTCTATACCTTTCCCTTTTAGCTATTTAGATCTTAGTGTGGGAAGTTTAAAGCATCTAGCAAGTGAGTAATTTTAGAGCTCTAGCCTTTGCCCTACTAAAACAACTATTGATTTAGCTTACTATCCTTAGTATTTTAAAAATTGAGCTCCCTTAATTCAATTCAACAGATACTCATTAAACACCTTCTGTGTATCAGGTACCGTGAGGGAAACAAAGATTAATTATACAAAGATGAATTCGACACCATGCCCCCCTGCCCTTAGGAAGTACTAACTGATACAAAACAAAGAAGTATAAAATGCTAAGAAAGAGAGTTCATCTGATTGAGAGAACCTAAGAAGATTTCTTATGAAAAGAGTGGTATTTGAACTCTTTACAATGAGCTGCTATACAGATTCTAATTCCCAGTGCCAATATACCATATCTTGAGGTATGCGTAGGATTTCCACAAGCAGAGATTTGATAGGGTACAGGAATGGAAAAAGGGGACAGATTGTTCATTCTTGAAGGAACGGCAAAGGCATTAGACAGGAAAGCATCAGGTCACTCTGGAGGTCATCAAGTAATACAGTTTATCTGGAAAAAGATGTGTCAGGAAGTGATGGGATAGAAATCTGAAGCAGACTGAAGCCAGAGTATAAATGGCCTTGAATTCTAGTCTTGAGAGTTGGGCTTAATTCAGTAGGGACAGGGAATCTATTAAAGGTTTTTGAGGAAGAGAGTACCATGATTTATAGTTTTATCTAGCAAAATAAAACTAGCAACAATGTATCTGGGGAGAGGTAGGAGATAAAATAGAGCCCAAGAGGCCAGTTGGGCTATTACCATTAGGACACTAGTACTGGATATCTCCAAAAGGTGCAAATACTAGAACCATCCTTGAGAGTTCGTAATGATTTGGAAGTGGAGAGATGAAAGAGGAAAATTAAAAGTGTCACAGAAGCCAAGGGAAAGGAAACTTTCAAGGAGATTATCAAGTGTCAAATGCAGTAGAGAACTGATAAAATCCTGTTGGATATTGGAACTAAAGGGAGATACTAAGAGGACAACAGTGTCAAAGGAAAAGTTCTTTGAATAGGAGAGACCCGAACCTATGTGTAAACCAAAATGAAAGAAATCAGCAGTTAATATTATTCAGGAGATTGATGGATACCATAGAAAACTGTAGTAGTGTTACAGAAATACAAACTTCCTTTCCACTTTATTTTTTAATAATATGCATGATGGTTAAAGAGTAGTGCCCAGGATAATGCTGAACTCATAGTAGACACTCAGATATGTGCTTATTGAATGAACAATGATGACTCTGAACTTGGAAAGCCTCAATGAACCTGCCATTCCAACTGGCTATATTAAGTCCTTTGTATTCTTGTTCTGTAGTAGCTCAGCCTATAATGCGGGCTTCAGCAAATGTGAAAGCAAATCTTTATGCATGATGTGAATTTAATAGAAGCATTAAGCAAATCAGAATGTGAAAATAAATGGGATTTGTCTTGTTTTCCTTTACTATCCCTTTGATAAGAATCTGTTCTATTCCAGATTTACAGAAAGACTTTTGAAGATAACAACTCTCCTCAAACCAATGTAGATGTCTTCTAGCTTCAAGAATCAAATACTTCAGGTGCCTGGGTGGCTCAATCGGTTGGGTGTCTGCCTTCCACTTGGGTCATGATCCCAGGGTCCTGAGATCAAGTCCCATAGCAGGCTCCCTGCTCAGCAGGGAGTCGGCTTCTCCCTCTCCCTCTGCCCCTCCCCCCTGCTCATGCTCTCTCTCTCTCTCAATAAATAAATAAATAAAAATTCTTAAAAAAAATCAAATACCTCAAGAGCCATTTAATAAATATTATAGAACCATAATGTGTCTTAATGCTCAAAGCAAAATTTCCTTTTCTTGAAAAATTATGTTGAAAAGATTCCTGAGGCCACCAAAACAGTGTCCAGGTTTCTGGAAGGAGCAATAATGGGAGGAACAAGTGAATTGTAGATACATATTGTAAAAGTTAATATTATACTAAGATTTTTGATATACCTTTTACCAGTTGCCATATGTATTTTTATATACTTCTACCAGTTGCCATATGTAGAGGCAAGTGAGCAGTAATATGCCCAAGACTTTAATCTCAGCTCACTAGATATAGCCTCCTTATTTCTGGACTGAATATTGTAGGTGCATGAGAGCTTTATCCTTAAGTCTTAGACAATTATACCTGGAGTATGTATTCTGTCACTTCTAATTTTGCTTACTGATATTTTTATTGGTCAGGCCACACCCCACTGCCTATCTCTTAAAAATCATTTTAAACTGGGCATCTAAACATACCAAAGCTTCAGTTCAAAAGATATGAGTTACTAGATTACAATAGGGATTGGTAAAGTGTTTTTTGCAACTGTTGCATTTATAGCTCCTGGCTTCTTTCCTCAGAAAAAAATTGGATTAGTCTGCACCATAAAGAAACAACTTAGAATAACAAATTTCACCAAAATTTGTTGTCAAAACACTTCCCTTTCTACATATCCAGATACTTAATTTTAAAGGTTTTGTTTCTTCCATAGTTGTTTTTTTTTTTTTTTTTCTTCTGAAAGTGTCAGATTTCTTTTGCCTAGTTTTACAACCAGTCTAAACAAAATAGTCATTCTGGATTACAGTCCATCTTCAGAGAAACACTGAGAAGTCAAGCTATCAGGCTGGTGCTTTCTATGATTTATGAAAATTTTCCTTCCTTTGCATTTCCTTTAACATTGCTTTCTCTATAGCCACAGAGTTTGTTTTTTTAATCTTTTGGTATATATATATATATAAAAAACACTTCACAATGCAGTCAACACACTGCAATGCCTTGCATTTCCTTCTCTTTTCTAATTTTTTAAGAAAAAACATTAAAGACCATTGTGCAAAACTCCTCATTTGAGCCTCTATTTACTGTGTATTGTTCAGTTTTTAGGTTAGGAAAACAGTGGGCCAGTTAAAATTCCTGAATACAAAATTACTAAAGACTCAGTCCATCTTAAGAACTCAGAACGAGAGTATAAAGACTGGTATTATGCTTTCAACAAGAGATGTTTCAAGATTCCAGTAATGTCTACCATTAAAGTATCTTAATGCTTTATTATTAAAGCTCTTGGATAAAGCTGAACATATTGTACTCATGTAAAAGAAATGTTTTTGCACTGTGTGCTAACTGGAGTTTAAATAAAAATTTAAAGAATTAAAAAAATATTTAAGTTTGTTTTTTTTTTTCCAAAATAAATGTTTGGTTCTTGAAGGTAGCAGAAACATGCTAAAAAACTATTGACTTCCGGGCGCCTGGGTGGCTCAGTTGGTTGGGCGACTGCCTTCGGCTCAGGTCATGGTCCTGGAGTCCCGGGATCGAGTCCCGCATCGGGCTCCCTGCTCGG